TGTTGTACTTTTGCCTAGAACCAGTTTTGCCAATTAACTTATGTGACTTAATTGAAATTTAAATATTACGTATATGAAAGGCAGAAAACAATGTTTTTCTTTGGAATATTTTGAGTCCCTGAAAACGCAAATTGTGTTTTAAATCTATACAATTGATGTTTGGTACACAGCAGGGAATTTCACTTTCTTTTGTCTGGAAACGTGCGGTATGTGGTAATGATTCACAGTTTTGCTTTGAACTTGACACTATGCTATTTGAAAAACATAAAACAGAAGTCAATAAATCAGAAGAGAGCATAATAAAGTGGAGGTATGCCTTGCTGCATGGCTCTATTTCCCAACTGTTTTTCAAGCTAAGCTACATGTTCAACACAAATTAAAGAAAGTAATCCACCTCAAATTCTCCCCCCACGTGTAACCAATGAATGAACTTAAATGGACTACTGATGTATGATACATTTCAAATTGCTTCAGGAAAACAAGCCTCGAAGCTTAATAGCTTCCACTTACTCTGAAGTGGGCAGTGAGAATTCACAGTTGTCATATTAGCTGAGCTGGGTGTTTGACTCTGAGCATCATTACCGTGGTCCCCTGACGCCCCATTTCTGCAACTCTGAGCAGAAGTGGACCGTGAGCCCTGCAGGAAACTGCAGGTTGCACATCGCTGCCCTACGACCGGTGGTGAGAGACAGTTACCGTGCTCACAGTGTCTGTAAGAGGCTAATAAGAGCAGCTGTGTGGGAGAGGAGAAGCGATACATGTTAAGATAGTGATGGTGCTTTCCACTGATTTGTGTGTTCGGCCCCTTGTCATTCCTTTTGTTCAATGTTCAAAATGGGTCTTTCTATATGATCCAAGTGCAAAAAAATCAATACTGACCCATTCATGATCACGATTAAAGTTGTTTCATGGCAAACCAAAGATTCATTAGGTTGGTTTAGATAAGATTTACTCCAACTACTCATTCTAGTATAGTCTGAGGTAGAATCTCCATACATTTGTAGAACTAGACATAAAGCAGCCACCTGACAATGTCCAATTTTTACTAATGCCTTGTGCAAACAAACACACAAAACCATATTTCATCCTTATGTGGGACTTTAACATTAACACAAGTCAAACTCTCATCGCAACTGTACGAGAAGCAAGAACCTGCAATTTCTCTGACAGAAAACAATCTGTCCTAATCCCAGGTTAGGATTAGATCCTGCAGTGTGAGAATTAAGACATGTATGACTTTAGAAGTATGACAGAATTTGTAGGTTTAAGTTAAATTGAAGTGGAACAACTCATTAATTGATTTTACTCGTTATCTGATTTGTTTTATTATAATTTAAGAAAAACCACACAAAATATTTATGTAAACAAAGTAAAGTATCATTGCTGCTTCTTCACTTCCTCTGATCAATCTGAAATTGCACGACAAATGCACATTATTACTGTGAAGCACCAAGGACCAATCTCACACGTTGACATGCGTGATGCATAACTGCAAACCTAAGTACATCTCTTTATTTCGGTCCACATTCAATATCAGGTTTGAAGGGGTTAAGGTTTAATTCCACAAGGCTTCGCTTTCCTGCTGCACTAGATGGGTTTCTGGAATCCACAAACAGCCTTGAATAACAGCATATTGATTCTGGTTTTTGTTGCACAGCTATGACAGTTTGGTGAGCGAGAGAGAGAGAGTGGAGGAAAAGTCAGAGAATGATCAGGAGGGCAAATAAAGAGCTGGAGGACATAATAACATTTAAACAGAAAGAGATGTAAACTCATTTCAAGTTCTCAGGTCAGTTCCACTGCACTCATGCAACCTCATGCCAGTAAAATAATGTTAAAGCTGAGGCATTAGGTAAGTGTTTTCTGTCTGCTGTGCTTGTTTGCCAAAGCTTCATTCTTGGCTGTTTTTTCCAAGAGCTACAGTAGATGGGGTTTTTTTGGGTTGCCAGCTTCCATGCACAGGAGCTGCAGAAACATGCTTTAGGTAAACAAAATGAGCTCTTATTGCTTGTTACATTTTGTTTCCCTACAGTCCCTGGGTAGAGAAAGAATAAATCTGAGTTGCTATCAGCAGCCATATATTGTTTTCATATTGAGTGCTTGTTCTAACGAATGGCAATTCAATGAGCCTTTTAATTGTTTTCAGTTTATTTTTGCAGCATGCAGGATGATGCTGCTTCTTGTTTTTTAACAACAACTTTAACAAGTTGCTGAATGCAGTGAAACATTTTAAAACAAAGTCACTTGATCATTTAACTTCACACTGGCCATGAAATGTGGTTCAATAGCACAAAATTATATTTCTGTGTATGTGTGTGGTGAAACCGTTCATGCTGTCAGTCCCAACGACAACTCTAATCAGAAGAATATGTCACCACTAAATTCCCTCTGGTCACAGTTTCAGTTTGAGTCGTTACATCAGTGTGGCACAAGCAAGTCTCGTGCCAGGGCAAATTTAATTTTACAAGTCGAGTCTTTTCTGTTTATGGTCTTAGAATAAATTCTGTGTAAGTGTAATCCACTTCAAAACAACTCCCCAAAAAATGTTGGCAAAGACCGCATCATCATCTACATAAAGTGGATGCTGGAGGCAAACTGGGAATGAGGTTCATGGTTATTTATGGTGTGCCATTCAAATCAGAGTAACAGTCAACAATTCTTTGCCAAATACTGCTTGTGTGAAGCCCAGCTCAATAGCCTCTTTAGATCTCTCTACAGAGAACAGCTTGTTTTTCCTCATCTCTGCCTCTCTCTCCAGACCTCTAATCCTGCTGCATTGTCTCTCAGTGCTGGTTTACGGAGGGTAAGGATGCGAACAGAAGGGGAAATACACATTAAAATTTTAATGTCTATTTCTGCCCCCCACCATTAACACTGGTGTAAAAATTCACAAAGCATTGACTCTTCCAGCTGAACCTTTTCCTGTATTCACATAATAAACACATCTTAGTTTGGGCTCGTAGCTGTCACTCACTTGACTGAGTCTTTTTCTTTCAATGCCACGCAGTCGTTGTAAGACGGTTGAAATGCTCACTGGGAAAATAGGGCTGCATTTTGTGATATTGGCTTATTTAGATTTTCGCTCACATTGTCTCATCCCCCAAGGAAACTAAAGGGGATTCATCTCATTCCCCAGCTCCAGATAGTACCTTTATTGTCAATACATCTTTTACATTGATCACTTGAATCACAGAAATGAGTCTCTGCATATATTGCAAGCACAGAATATGGTGCCTGAAAGAGCCATACGCAAACACACTTTCCATGCACAAGTTGGGATCGATAAAAAAGTTGACAAGAGAATGTGTACGCCTTTTAGAGACAGGGGAAATTAGCGACGCAGATGGCGAGGTGGTGAATTCAAGCCAGATTGTGGAAATTGAAAGCGAGAGGAATCGTCATACGCATATTGATGCTTGTATTCACTCGATAGCACACCTCACCTATAGATCCACTTTATCAGGCACATTCAAACCAGCAGTGTTGCTATAACTTTTCCATAATCACCTCGTAATCAATCTTAAAAAAGCATGAGCCAACTCAAATCTTGAGATTCTGCTCAATATTTCATCAGTGCTGTCTCACCATCACATTCTCCACCCCGGAGCTCAGAAGAGAGGGATGAGCAGTTTGCTACTTATGCTTGTGGTCAGTTGTTAAACCACTGCAGCAGTTGAAATATCAGGATGATGACAGGATGTGGCAGGTAGCAGGTTTCAGGAACATTCTTTTCACCTCAACTGCATTAACTTGGCTAACTGATTAAATTTTCAGCAGTTGTGGAAATCCAAGATAAAATCAAATAACGTTAAAGTATTAGATAGATAGATTTTAATCATACTTTGTATACATATTACCCAGTACGGTTTGAGTATTCATATAGTTTTTGGAGTGTAAGATTGCTGCAGTAAACACAGTGTACAGTCAGGCTCATTGAGCACATGACCACAATGGCTTCTCCAGCCACCTCATCCCAACACGACCTGCATTGCATATCATCATACTCTGATGATTGATTAATTGCATTGACCAGTACGTGCACACTTTCGTCTGAATACTTTGGCATGTGCCATTTGCATGTACACTGTTAATAAGGATCCTAAGCACTGTGTTAAGAATCAGGCCCCAAACTTTTGAGCCTAAAATAAAACATATGGTAGGTTGTCTCCCTTCATCACATCAAGAATTGACTTCAACTGCAACTGCCTTCTTAATGGTTGGACATTCAAAGTCCTAAATGCACTCCAGTACATCCACAACTCATAATCACATAACTCCAGAGTTTCACCAGATATTATTCTCGTAATATTATAACCTTTTCTCATAAAATTACGACTTTAAATCTAAAGGGCCCATCAAAGGGTAAAGAAACAAACAAAGAAAAAGTAATGCCAAAAGTAATGCCCTTTGACCTCAATCTTACACACTGAACCTTTAAGTTGTAATAAGACAACTCCTGATTTTATGTAGCATTATGACTTAAATCACATATTATTACGACCTTATTATGTAATATTATGACTTTATAACTTTTTTTAAGAACTAATGTAAAAAACATGGCTGCCTCTGTAGAGCGGACCCCCTGGATGTAAATATAAAGTATTTAAACATAAAGGGCCTTTTCTGGGCTAAAGAAAACTACAATTCATATAATTTAGATTGAATCGAACTAGTGAAAACATCATGAGGATTATTCTACATTAGGTTTCTGACAATAGTTCCCTTTTCACCTAAATCTTACACACTGGACCTTTAATCCTCGAAATGTCCTATTTGTCTCCTCCAACGTGAAACTCCTGATAAACCAGAGACATCGTGAGGCCCATGGCCATTTGAATTATATTATTATATAACAGTGTGTCTTGTCCCTTCCTCCTGTCCCTCTCTGGTCAAACAGGCTGTTCTCTCTGCAGCCTCTGAGCGTCTCTGTCGATCTCACGCGCCACACTACAACCAGGAAGTAGAAAAAAGAAAACATATCCCGACAGCCTCTTGTGAGAATCAGGAAGTGAACGCAGCCGAGTCTCTGGAGCCGCAGCCGTGTTTTCATTTCTGCTGTGAAGAGAAAGTTCATCGATCGACAGCCTGATAACAGGGTCGACGGTGCGGAGGCTGTGCTAAGGAAGCTAGCCGTCAAGCTAATAGCTCCATTAGCTCATAACAAGCAATAGACAGGGGAGAGAGAGAATACAGAGAGAGGGAGAGAATACACAGAGAGGGAGAGGAAGACGAGTAAGTACACACTGTGTGTGTGTGTGTGTGTGTGTGTGTGTGAGGGGGAGAAAAGGGGGAGTTTTCTCTGCATTACAGCACTTTTTCTTCTCTCCAGCATTTGTTTGTGTCAGCAGTGGCAAAAGTACACAGACAGCCCAGGAGAGGAAGTCTCAGTGCAGCCAGAGGAAGTGTGAAAAAAGACATTTCTCTCTCTCTCTCTCTCTCTCTCTGTGTGTGTGTGTGTGTGTGTGTGTGTGTGTGTGTGTGTGTGTGTGTGTGTGTGTGTGTGTGTGTGTGTTTTGTTCATTCTTCCTGCTTCACTCCAGCAGATTGGACTGAATAAAGGAGGCTGGACAGTGGAGAAGACAAGAAAAGGTCAAGGCCTGACGCGAACACAGACAGAGAGAGAATGTGTGTGTGTTTGTGAGTCATGCCGATGGTACTGCCGCACACACTCAGCACTTTCTGTACGCGAGGCAGTAAACAAAGCGGGTGTGTTTCCGCTCAAGGACAGTTCACTGACCGCAGATGAGGTTCCTTCTTCTTAATGCGTCGTGGTGCATATTTTCTGAGCCACTTTCTGTGTGATAATGTTCCACTGGAATTTTTGGCTCCATTTAAATATCAGCTGTAGGACTATTATATCAGATGGGATTAGGCCTCAGGATCTTGGCCTTTCGCCTGTGCAAATATGAGAGCAGTTCACTGAAAGTCAGTGCTATTAATAACCTGTCCTCCACTCTGTGTGTTTCCTGTTAAAATGTACTCCTCTGATCCCCAGAATTATCAGCAGCAGCCATGGACGACAAAGGGGAACCACAGGATGGAGCCACGGGGGTGAAACAGGAGGAACTGCCACAGATGGACGGGTCGTGTGACGTGTGTGAGCCCGACGAGGCCCAGCCGGCCACACAAGTCTGCCATGCCTGCAGCTTTGCCTTCTGCCCAATCCACGCCGAGAGACATGCCAGCAGGATGCATCATCTGCTGATGCCTTATAACCACGAGGGGACACAAGTTAACGGACTTGGCACCAAAAGAGAATTCAGAGTTGGGGGTGAGGCTGAGGATGAGGCAAGAACGGGTGCCAATCAGGATCTGGCACTGTCTGGAGTGGCGATGGCTAATGGGGGTGAGAGTGGCGTCGCTGAGGGAAAAGAGGGCGCCCAGGACGATTTGCTGCTGGGTGTCGGAGCTGAGGGTGCAGAGGCAGGGGAGGAGGCCGTGGCGGCTGGGGCCAACGTGAAGAGGAGAACTGTGATGGTGGAGAGACTGCGCTGCAAGGAGCACGGGCAGGAGGGCTCCCTTTACTGTAAAGCAGATGAAAAGATCATCTGTGTGTTGTGTGCTGTGCAGGGTGAGCACAAGGATCATGAGATCATTACCCTGCACGAGGCCTATGTGTGGCAGAAGGTGAGTCACACACACTTAGAACAGCTTTATATATGTGGGACCAGTGCTGTGTGATTTACTGTATGCCCTCTACTGTTAGTCACTATGGCACACGATACAACATCTGCAGCTCCATTCTGTGACATAATGAATTCAGAGCATCGTCTGGTTTGCATTTCTAATTCAATATTAAGTAGAATGCCAATAGCTGTAGGCCCTGTGTACTTTAAGTCAACTCACCGGGGCTTTGTTAGAGCTCTTGGTAATATTTCAAACCTAACAACGTCTCATGATCACCCTCATGACATCACTCATAAATCCAGTCCATTTTACAGCTGCGTAAATCATTTCTATTAAAATTGTGAAATGGAAATGCAACATCGTGAGTATACCCCAATGTCCGTTTGGCTCAGCACCAACTATGGTTTCACTCCTCCATTTCCCAGATGTCTTTTTGCCTCAGGCGTACAAAAGAGGTCCAGTGAGTCACCAGTCGTTCGCATTGCAGTTGTTCCAGTAAGCTGGGCTAATGTGCTGGATTTCGAGAATAACTCCATCCTCATCACACCATCACTGTGGGCTCAGTGCTGCATTGTGTTTTTGATGAGTATAGTAGCATTTGGAGTCAGATGCTATCAGCTCGCTGAACACACTCAGACCGTGTTATTGCACCGAGAACCAATTAACAAGGCTGCGATAGTATCAGAAACCAGGACTTAGTTTTGGATTAATATTTTTGAACCGTCAAGGGAGCCTCGTTTGAGAATCATCACGCAAGGCTGATGCATTTAGCTACAGCGATAACAACAGTTGTGGTACTTTCACTGGCTGTACATCTGCAAAACAAAAGTAGAGCAGCACAATTCACCAGTTTACTCTTACATCACGACCACATATGGATTAATGAGAGACAAAAGGGGTCCCTCTCTCTCTCTCTCTCTCTCTCTCTCACGCACACATGCACAGCCGAAGGGCACATTATTTACTCTAAACCTATTTTAGCTTTTATCCTGCTTCCTGTCACCATGTGGCCATGTGAAAGAAATCCTTTACACCTGGAAACAGTGATGTGATTTCCCGTCAACTTTGCCTGAAGGATGCACATCATCCCAAAAATATTATCACACAATCAAAAGTGAGATATTTGATTTATTTATTTATTTTTTATCATTCTGCAGACATTCTGGATGAAGCTATTAGCAAAGGAAAAGATAATTTAATGCACTTAACTACAGTCAGTAGAGCGCATACAAGGCCCCTTAAATTCAATCAAGCTGCACCAAATCTCGCACACTCATAGATGTCAGTCCCTTAAATATGTCCAGTTTTATTCATCAAGATCCATGATTTATTCCCTGGGAAAATTTTCTATCTCAGTGTTAAAGAAAGGAAAAAAAAAATCCTGGATCCAGATCTGCACCAAAATTGAATTAGTTCTTCCCTGACTCAAACCTCTTCATCCACCAAGTTTTGTTCAGTTGTTTTTGTGAAATCATGCTGACAAACAAACAAACAAACCAAACAACACACAAAGGGACGAAGGGGAAAATATAACTTCCTTGGTGGAGGTAATGATTAACAGCTTATTGACACAGAAATAAACCTCTGTTTATGTGAAGTGCTTAACATACTTATGTAGTGGAATTCAATGTTGTGTTAACTGTTTTTTTTTCTGCTCCGACTGTAGAGCAGGCAGGGGTATGATCTGCTGGGCTGCACACAACAGATGGCTGAGAAGATCAACACCAAGTGGATCAACCCTGTGGTCAGTACAAACTCTCACATACAGAACTCAGCTAAGTCGAATCATGACTCATATACTCAACTCCCACAAGATGCATTAAGCTGCTCTCATTTGGTAATGAGCTCCAACCAACTCTAACCAAATGAAATGAGAAGTTCTCTGCAACAATTAGAGATGGACAGCGTAGCGTGAACATATCACACTGCTTTTCGTAATGTGCTTGTGCCATGTGGCTTGATTATAATTGCTGATGATTTACTTTCAAAGATATTCTCTACGTGCTGTGCCCAGATGTTCAGCTTTGTCTAAAACACACAAAGTGAATGTAACAAGTGTAGCAAACATACAGTGTTGTTTGCAATGGCTTTAAATGGTACATCACATGAATTCAGAAGGTGGTTTTCACTGTAGGCTCGGTCGTTTGCAGGTTTTTTCCCAAGGTAATTCATGGCAACTTTCACATGTGCACTTATATAGAAAATATACAGTTGGGTCCAAAATCTGTGTTCCCTGAGAGAAAGAGAAGCAATTTCATCACAGGTACAGAATTTGCTAAATAAAGAATGTAAGGCTCCAATCAGCAGAAGTATGGACAAAATAGACTGTTTCTAATCCATGGGAAACAAGTCCAAATGCTTTGGCTAAGAAATACCCGCGTTTCACAGTGATGAATCCAAGTCTCAGGTTTATGGCAGTAACAGTGGGGATGTATACAGGAGACCAACAGAATAGAAAAGTATACTGAGGTGTAACGAACCAACTGTGAAACATGCTGGAGGGAATATTCAAGCCTCTGGGTGTTTTGCCCACTCTGGACTTGGACACCTGCTCTGAATCGACTACACGCTGACCAGAGAGAATGATTCATACAACAGTAGGATAATGACCTCAAACTCAACTCAAACACTAGAAGACAATAGAGTCTTGAATGTCATTGATCATTTACGACGGCATTTAATGAGTGACAAAGTCATTTTTATTTTTTTTCAATTGTGCATGATGCCATTTTTTAACCTGACCTTGACCTTTGGCCCATTAAAAGTTTGATACAGGTACTAATCCATGAGACCTTGAGTAAATGAGGGGAACTTACCAAATACTAAGATATTTAGAATTTCATGAAAAATTTTCAAATATTGAAATTGTAATTTGAATAGATAAGATGTATTATATTAGAAACTAATGTAAAAGTGATCACAGACTTTTGGACCCCACTATAAACAAACTCTATAACAACCATATTTAAATCCATGAAATTTTATTTTAGCATGATTCAAATAATCTGCACGAGGATTTTTTATAATAGGTCTATCGTATTATCATTGAGGAACCACAGCAGAGCAAAAAAAAAAAAAGAAGACACTACCCATTTCTAATTCAGTGGTTAGAGCAGTAAGCACTGCAGCAGTATAGACACTGCAGCTATGGAGACACAGCCGCCTTGAATGAGATAAAGAGGGATTAAAAAGAGATTATGTCATAAAGGCACTGGGTAGTAAACAAGCCAATTATTTCATTCCATATATTTAGCATGCCTCCCCATTCACAGATAACACATCTTGCCTGTTGAGTTTGTGCAGATATCATTCTGCTTGAAGCGTAGGAGTAATGGCATCATTGTGTGAATACTGACTCGTGTCAGTTTCAGGCTTCAGTTGATGTCACTTTTTTGACTCAGCACTTCCGTGCAAAGTCAGAACTTGTATTTTGAAAGTGAATGCGTCTGCGGCTTTGTCATGTATAAAATAGGAAGAGAGGGAATGTTGAATGCTAAAATACCCTCGAGCTGTTTTCTACTTGATAAGTTGATAAAAATCCTTGTATTCACTCAAGGTGGATACGGTGTATTACACACTGTGTTAAATTGGAAAGGCTTTGTGATATCTTTTTACTCCTCCATATAAATAAATGACGTGTAAAAAATATTAGAAGAACCTTTCAATATAATGTAGCCTAATACGCCACTAAAGCTTAGTATTTATTATCGGTGGAGCCCGAATGATTTCATTGGTTGACTGATAAAAATCGGAATTTTTCACAGACTTGTATTTGTGTGTTTTTTAATATTTATAGTTATTTGTAGTAAAGTTAATGGTAAAACTATCTCAAAACTATCTTAAACTATAAAATATCAAGCCTCAATCGCATTTCTCTGGCATAAGGGTCTGATAACGACATCTAGGAATCTTTGCCATTTTTTTTGTATCAGACTGTATCGGCATCGTCCCCCATTAATTAATATTGTAGCGCACGGTTATTTCACTTTTTCATACCCGCAAGGCCGACGTCCATTTTACACTGATGGCAATTATGCAGGAGCTTCTGATGCTTACTGAGGAAATATAAGGAGGTGACATCGATTTGTTTTTGTCACTCAGCTTGTCTAAGTCAGTCATATGAAACAAAGATGAAACACAGGTTCGAGGCAGAAATAATAAAAATAAATGTTGTTAACCTTATCTCAACCCTTTTATGTAAGCTCCACAAGGGCTGCGTCAGTTAAAGCAGGGTGCATGGTGCATTTCACACACAGTCACCACAGTCATCAAACAAAACAGACGCTTCTCAAACTGAATTTTCATGGCAAGTCAACCTTGAAAGCAGTGCCAGTATTTCCATTACAGATGCCTTAGCGGGGGCATGTTGTGCCTCTGAAAATAAAACCTGATTACGAGCAGGATCAGGGACATACTGGTCTCCACTATGGTCTCAGCTATTTACAGTTGAAGGCTGCTGCACCTGCTCTCTCAGCTTCACCTGCAGCGCTCTGTTCCACCTTATGCTGTGCTCCTACAGCTTAACTATGTTTAAGCCCATCATCAGTGAGCAGCGGCACTCAGGAGCGTCGCTCGCTACTTGCAGAGATGTGACCGAAGCTCAGCGAGATTATGTGGAAGGTTAATTTGACTGGATATAATGTTTATTGTCATACAGAAATATCAATGCTGCCCCAAGGACTCCCTGGACATTTAGTCCTTGTGCTGCTCCACGGTAGAGGTGCAGAGTGTTTGGCAAAAACCACTTACCTGCTCAGTCACAGGGCACTGTGTTAGAGAACATTATGTGGATTTGTCGGCGTGTCCTGGCTGCACTTTGAAATGTCAGCGTTTCTTATTATGCATGACAGGCAACCATCAGAGTGACTGCTCCGGGTGAGGACAGGTAGGGGTGTGTGTGTGTGTGTGTTAGTGAGAGAGACACACAGAGGCTGAAAGAGATAGGAGGTTGGAAGAGTTTAAACTGCATGGTACCGACATCTTGAAGGACTTGTGAGAAGAAGTGATGTGAGCGGCCGTCTGTGTAGGAGGTGAGAGGTGGATGGAAAGATTTAACCCTTAGCAGCTGTCTGCTTATCAAATCCAGCTTGTTTAATTATGTACTTTGCTGCAGGTGAGAAGATTTTAATATCTCAAAGCTCATATCTCTATTCTCCATAGGGGAATGGAATATAATGCAAAAACACACCCAGTGATGAGGCTGCATACATATTAATGGTGGACCGGAGGCGTAGCGTAACACGAGGGGTCTAAATGGCTGTCTGTCAGTCAAACAGCCAGCGAGCGCTACTTATCATCAGAGAGGTGGAAATGATATGTGAAGCAGGGCAGCATGTAGTCTGCATATTTACCCCCCACGCTCATGTTTTATTTACTCACTGTCTGCCGTGTGGGGTGTCATGTCGGGCACACCCTGCTCAGAAAGAATGGCCCGATATCTGGAAGCAGCATGGCAACATTAACCCAGTCACAACTGTGTGAGCGTGTGTGTGCAGTGGCTACATCCATTCTCCTCGCCTCATAAAATCTACAAGAGCAGCAGACACATTAAAAGCTGTCTTATAGCGAGCCAAAGCTGAGGAACAGGCCGCTGAGGTATGAAAGGACTTGGCTGCTGCTCTTTGCTTTGTTCATCCTCCTTTTTTTCTTGTCTTCCTCTATCTCATTCTTCTTTTCCTCCTCCTCCCCCTTCTTCACTCTACCCCCACTCTCTCATTGCTCTTTACAGCTGTCGTTCCTGTCCTATCTCTGCTCACAGCATTTTAATTGAATTACTCGCTATCATTACCCAGAAAGTTGCTTGGCTGACATTGCTACACTCAAAACCAATAAAAAGGTGCTGGATATAGAAACTCTACTATTATATAACCCAAGGCCTTCTGTCTCATTTTCCTTCTTTTTTCAAACCCTCTCTTTATATTACTTCATATGACTTCTGAAGACCTGGTGTTGTTAAAATTAGTTTTCTATCTATTCCTGTGTTGTGTTAGAGGCCAAATTGGAGAATCTCATTTGTGGGAGAGATTAAAAAAAAAAAAAGAGCCTGAGAGAGAGACACAGAGTAGTGATAACTTGGAACAGGGCCACTATTGCCAAGGGCAAGGACAGTTCAAATCCATTTACTCCTAATTTGCTATTTAAGGTCCAGTGTGTAAGATTTAGGTGAAAGGGAACTATTGAACTACATATTATCTAGAATAATCCTCATGATGTTTTCACTAGTTGATTTCATCTAAATTGTATGAATTGTAGTTTTCTTTACCCTAGAAAAGGCCCTTTATATTTAAATACTTTATATTTACACGGAGGGGACCCTCTTTACAGAGGCTGCAATGTTTTTTACATTAGTCCAGACTGAACAAACTAAACACCTTTTGAGTTTTTATGACAACTGAAGGTTAACACAGGTTCTTTTTCATGTTTGGAAGGAGAGGGTGGGGTGAGGGGTGTTCAGCTGCAACGTGTAATTTCAACACTCAATATCACTAAATTCTACACACTGTACCTTTGATGCTTTCTTGCTCTGTTTTTAGGGCATAGTACAAAACGGACCTCTGAATGAGCAGCAGGAGCGAGAAGCTTCTGAGAAAGTTAAGCACTCGAACTCTCCCCTCCAGAGGCATCAGCATTGGATAAAACATTTTTCTTGTCTCCAAAAATTAGGTATAAAAATATATATGAAGTGGTTTCATTAGTCTGAGACCACTTATGGAAAAGTGGTGTTAAAATGCTCAAATTAAGAATAGTCCATTTCAAGCTGAATGCATCATTGTCTCAACGGCACATTTTATTCTCTCGTATTATCAAATTATACCTTCGAGAGTTGAGTAGAATGTATTTTGATTTATTTGTGATGATTGGCCCACTGAAGTGTGTGTGTCTCTTTAAAGGTTGAGATTAAAAACTGAGGCTGATATTATTTTTGAGCTTTATACTTTTTCTCATTTTAGCGTGTGCTGCTGTCTCACCAAAATAATACAATAATCTGTTCTTACTCCCAAAGGCTTTTGGTTTTGCTGCTTCCTCCATCAACACCAATGAAAAACACAACCTTTTTTTGTAGCCAGTCACAAAAGTACACTAGTGTTCGAAGTCAATTCTATTTGAGTGTCTCGATATACTGTAATCATATGAAGTGTTGGTGCATGCATTAGAGGTTTTCTATTTTTAGTAAGCCACAGATCCTGCAGCTTTCTGGTGAATCATTTTCAGTTTTCTCCTTTCTCTCAGCCCCCCATTTCACAGCTCCAATATAATGTACATTAAGTTATGAAATCAAGATTCAAGTTGCCACTTACTTGTTAAAATGTTTAAAGCATGTTAGATACATGGATAAGGTAGAAGAAAGAATTCGGCTGTAATCTGCTTTATAAATAATCAGCGTTTGCTTTGAGAAGAACTTAGCTTTCTTAATCTGATGTCCTACCTCTGCCCGAACTTTCTCATCCGTCTTTACTCCAGCTCTGCCCTGCAGTGTGCCGCTGTCTCTCCCAAGGCCTCATTCTGTGGCCTGAGCTTGCAGCAATGCAAATGAAGATTAGCACGCATGAATGCCCCTTCCTCGCTTGCAGGACAAATTCTCAGAGAAACTCAGTGAAAGGTCCAAGGGCAGAGGGCTCCTGCTCAGCAAACACAAAGGCGCTGATCCAGGATCACAGCTCCCATCTGCCACTGAGGCCATGGGGACTGGAGATGGCAGGGGGGCTCTGCTGAGCCCCTGAATATTGGCAGATGTAGTGACGGAATGTGTCGGATTAAAAATGTCAAACAGATGACATATAAGATGCTTAAATTGATACGTTTTATGTGGGGATTCTCTCTGCTCCACTCATGTTTACTCTCAGTTAGCATTGGTCTTTGTGATTTATGCTAACTGCTCTGATTATGATTATGCTCTGATTATAATTTATGTAAAATGATGTCACGTGAAGTAAATTGATAGTGGGTACATTCACATACTTCATATAAGGTAGCCTATTTATCTTTTACTCAATCGATACATATTAGGATGCTGCCCCACAGTTGGTTCACAGCTAAGTGCACCAATATATGTGTGTCTATATGTGAAGTTTGCTAACGTTAGCATACTTGGTTGTGTTTAGATGACATTAGACATTAGTCATGAATTCACCGTTGTTTTTTATTTGTAAAAGGAAGATTACGTAGTTTTTACGCCACTTCTTAAGCCTCTTCAGAAGTTACATGGTCCTGTGTGAAGTCATTGATAGATCATCCTGCTAAATGCTAAAGCTGCGCCTGATATGGAACTAATGAAGTGATTACTGCTACTGCTGAATTAATTCATAGATATCATTGAGAGATTCCATAAAAAAAAAGATAATAGTGAATTTGGCAAACTGATAATAAATGTAAATGCCAAGTAGATCAAAGCTTTTAGAAATGATCATTTAACAGGATTATTTAGATGTTATTATATTGAATTGTTGATATTTCCTGGCATTCATGAGACCTCAGTCAGATTTAGCTCAGAGCTCGATGCCAGAGAAATCAAAACATGAGCAACAGCTTAAGCATTAAATTCTAGCGACAGCACAAAATGAAGTAGTAAATGTCTTGTCATATTTAAATGTATTTTATAAGTGCTCCCTGCTCACGTTTAAAATTAGTCTTACATTTAATCAGCCTGTGTCCTAATTCACTATGGATTTATTATATTTGAGCACTTCCTTTTATAATTCTATATGAAAGGAGAAGAACTTCATTCCAGAGGCATAGAAATATGGATTTGGAAAGTGCTGCTTCATTCTTTCACTGAGATGGAACTTGATGGTAATTCATCCCAGTTGTGGCCTATTTTTCATCATGTGTAAGACATCATGGCAAAAAGAGAAAATCACTCTTCGCTTTCCAAGTAGACTCCGTCTGATTCAGAATTTAAAAATGTGCATGTTTTTCTCTGCTCAAAGTAAATAAAATCTGTTACTTCTCGGACTTGGTGTAATGGGCAATTTGGAGAATCTGATTGCTTGTGCGGAAATGGCAAATACACAATAAAACTTTGGGCCCCTAGGGGCCTTGGCTCTGCCAACCTCAGTGAAGACAGATGATTCCTTGCTTTGCAAGGGAGAGAGAGAGGCTAAGGGGAAATAAGATAAGATGGAAGGAAAGGAAAAGAGAGAAGTTCTGCGAGCAGCTGATGTTCATAGATTGATGTGATAATAACATATTCAGGAGCAGAAATCATGACATGGGAATTAGTGCCATTTTACCCCATGACAGCATCTGAGTTGGAGGTGGAGACATCTTGGTGGGGAGCATTGCAGGGAGGCATCTGTTTATTGAGGTGTTTTAGCCTAATGAGTCATGTCTAAAGAGAACCTCATCGTGTATCTCAGTGAACAGTTCAGTTGCCTTGAAAGCCTAACAGATGGCTTGCTGTGGTAGAAGGAGCCTCTGAGGTCTCTATCTACAGATGGGATGCATGGAGTGTACATTCAGGCAGTATGCCTCAAGCTATCAATTAGCTATTGCATGACAGAGGCCAGTGAGTTTCTTAAAATAAAGTTCACATATCAGTAAAAGACAGAAGCTGCTGTCTGCCTCTTTATACACATCTCTAGATTTTCATTACATTACAATTTTACTGTCTTGTCATAGACATTTTTACTTGCTTGTTTTTGAGTTTTAAATCCATCATTCAGATTTATTTGAATATCAGCCGACTAAATTCACCCATTTTGTCCTTTACTCCCCCCTTTCTGTCTCCTCTTCAGATGTCCATAGACGAGCTCGAGGATTATGTGGACACCCAGTTCGATGAGCTGCGCAAATTGGTGCGTCTTGCGGAGAAGAGAACCCTTCACCTGGTAGACCTCAAAGAGGCGTTCCTGACAGCGTCCGCTGCAGAGAAGATTGCAGAGATCAACGTCGAAACGGAGCAGCTGCAGGAGGAGATGGCCAGCATCACACGCGAGCTGTATCTGCTGGAACAAGCCGAGGCGCAGGCAGCGGGTCCTGCTGTGGTAGCAGCGGCCCTCGCACCGGCCCACAGAGTGATGGTGAGAACAAGCTGCCTTTCATCTTTCCTTATTGTGCTTCTTACATCAAACTCACTTCACAGTACAGTGCAGGTAGAAAGGTTAGCAAGTTGAAAAATGTCACAGAATCCCAGTGTGACTAACATTCAACATTCCGAATTGTCTAATTCTGTAAACTTCACATTACCAATGTTGTGCCAAGTTTGGCTCTCTGAATTTTCTATGAGGAAGCATTTATTTGATTTTCACCCTGGCAACAATCTACTGTAAGTTTAAAAATGGCTTTTTAAAATTTCTCACAAGTTATACTGGATCCACTGAGTTTTGAAGTCAAATCTAGACGGGCACTCAGAGAGCTTATACCTACACCAAGGCTTGGGCCCTATCTAGTCATGTCAAAGTAGGTGAAAAGCACAATTCCTGGACCTGACTCTTTATTCGGATCAGCAGCAGAAGTTAATGGGTTTTTTCTTGGGTCATGCCCAACCCCTCCACAAAATTATATGGAAATTGGTTTAGTAGTTTGTAAGTAATCCTGTTGACAGACAACCAGAAGAAAAGCAATAAAAACTTCTTTTCTGGAGGTAATGAATGAAAAGCCAATGCATTCAGTCCAAAGGCCTGTTTCTGAGCAAAGATCCCACCTTGAATGACAACATGTAGTCACATCACCACATCTGCAAAGAGCTGACAACACAAGGAAGCAGGGTTTTAATAAGGGCAGCCTTTTAAAAGCAGACCCTACTGTCAATAAACAATTAGAAACAATTGTGTTGTGGATCATGTGCACCTGACTTCATGGTGACTGCTGTAAACAGTTATTATTGATAATTAATTGCAGGGGATAGTCTGCAGTGGCATCTCAATCTGTCTTCATATAGTTGTGAGGTGGCCTAGAAGAAAAATTATTTCTTGAAAGGGTTTGGTTCTTCTCTTAAAAATACCTGAGCAGTGTGGATGCTGCCTCAGCCATAGATCACCCCGGGATCAGCCAGGCATGATTCCCAGGCCTTCCACTTACAGAATTATCTTCCTAATGACTGTGGCACCTGCTGCAGTCATTATAGCAAAATAAATATGGTAAACAGGTGCCACTGTACACAGCTTTGTTCTACATGGAAGGAGAGAGCGGCTGTATTCATCCAGTCATGAAGTATTCTTATTTAGAGAAATATATATATATATTTTCATTTCATACAGACTCTGGTTTCATGCAAATAAATAAAATAAGTCTCATAATGTCTGTTCTGGTTATGAACAAAGCAGTTAGTTGCACTGTTCCTTTTCTTTTTATACTCCAGCCTGTTGTGAAAGTACGGCCAGAAGTGCCAGCCATCTCAACGCATTTACATGACTTCAGACTCTGCAGCTTTTGCAGTCCCTCGTCTCTCATTTTAACATCGAAGAGGAGGCTTTTATTGCTCATAGCCCCGAAATTAAAATATCCCACTGGTCTATTTGTCACTTGCCATATATAAGTCCCCACAGTCTCAAAAGGAGGCTTGAGCGTTCCCTGGCGATGCTGTGCAGTGCGAATGAGGCGCTCCGTAATGGTGGAGGCTGACGTGCAGATTGCTTTTCGAGCTGAGAAATGGATCCATTGTGAGCCAGGTTCATTAGGGGCCCTAATTGAATGCCAATGGTTATCCCGTTTGTTTTTATGTGTCCGTTATTGCTGGATTAAATATGATAGTGGATTACTGTATTAAGTGATATCGTGATGAACAGTGTTATTTGGGGATGTGTGGTCACAGGAGAAGAGTGTGTAGGTGCAGGGGAGGGGCTTTGCTGCAATTCAGTTATCCAGCAACTGTTATTTTGTTTTTGTGGGTATACACCATTGACTGTATATAAAGATGGATGACATGAAAGCTACCCAAAAGTGAGGCCAAACCGTCTCAATCGCCCCCTGGTGGCTGGCTACAGTATAGATCATAAACCCTGCCTGCCCAATGTAAGCAAATAGGACATGAACCAAAGTGAAACATCAAATACATTTTTGCAAACATGGCTTCTGTCATTTTAGGTATTCCATATTTGTTCGAATATTTTTGGGGCTTTCGGTGTAGACAGTGGATATGTGGACCTTCATAGTCCAACTAGTTTCTTTTATTTATTTTGTACAACAGGAGGGAGTGGCACGTTTTCCATCTTTTTATACATTCTATGGTATAGGTAGCTCAAAGTGAATTGGGTGGAGGTGGACGTGTAGAAGGATGTCTGAAATGGTGAGATCTGAAGTGAGTGAATCCGGAGTTACCACAGCAGTTGTTGACAGGAGGAGATGCATCAAGTCGACCTTAACTCACTAACACCTGCAGCAATTTTTGTCGCACAGCGTATTTGATGTGAGAATCCTCGTGGATCCAGAGAATAACTGACTCAGACATTCATTCTCCTACTTGTTCATTCGCTCTGTCACTGTCTGCCTCATGGTGGTAGAGCCTAAAAGTGGCAAATTGAACCACAATCCTTCACTTGGCTCTTTACTGCAGGTCGTCTGAGATGTGAGGCATATGTCTGAAACCTTTCTCTTTTTTCATGAATCTGTCAATAATGAATTAGTTGCTGTAAATGTTTCAAATGTCAAAAATCAAAAAACTCAAATTGCCTTGAGGTGTTATTTTGTCTCGTTAAAAGTAAAGAAGTGCTTAAATTCAATATGTACGAGAAGAAGTAAAGCACTGTTCATATTTGAAAAGATTAATTTTGTGTTCATCCACTAATCAGTGGTTATGTTGTCTCAGCACTACAGCCCTCTTCCAGCTAAAGCTGCAGGAGTGTGAAGTAGTAATTTTCTCTGTACTCGTTCTGTAGAGATCTAAAATCCGTGAATGAAACAATGATAGATGCTGATGCGACACTAGAAACAAAGCCATTACCTTCAGTGCCGTTCAAATGAAAATTCACTATTAAAATATATAGACCCTGTTTTCCGTTATGCTTTTTGTTTAGTTCTCCTTACAATCTAATCCTATTGCCAGAGAGCTACCCTTACAGCCTGCAGCACGTTTTGGAAGTAGTGCCTTGATTCCAAATTTCTTTATACCAGAAAAGAAAGACTAGCAGCTTCAAGCTTCAGAGCCAAGTCAGAGAAGCGATTCCAGCTTTGTAAGCACATCAAGCAAGTAATCTGCAGCCATGCAACAGCAGAACTGTGGGAAACGACAGTGAGGTAAAATATTTCTCACTTACATAAAATCCACCGTTTAAACTCCGTCCCAAAGAGTAAACCACATAACTGAGATGAGTCTTTGTGATTAAGGTCAAACAAACAAAACTGTTAATAATCTCCTGTCTTCATTTTTATACAGGGACAGGAACACACAGGTTTAGACACACACACGATGAATAGGATCAGCAACAGGTTGAAAAATCATTATGAATATTTACCAATCAGCAACAGCTAGAGGAAGAATAAATTAATACTCTGTCTAAGTCCATTTATTATCAAAACGTTCTCTACATTTTCACTAAAGAAGTGTCAGTGGGTAGTCCTCTGTACAGCCGCTCAGTTTTCTATTTACAAATCAATATACAGTAATTAAAAACCCTTATATGTCACTTGAACACAGTTACTACACACACATTTAAATAAGAGAAAATGGAAATGCTCATATATGTACACGGAAAATTAAATTGAAAAATGTTGAACCAACCAAATTAATTAGGTCTGTTTAAATTTAAATCCACAAGTTATATGAACACAATTAATTAATATTTTGAAGACTCATTGAACTCTGTCACCATTTGAAGAAACTTTTTTTATTATAGAATTTGTATTTATGAATGCATTAATAGATATAACTATTCTACCGTAGGTAATATAAAACATGAAATGTCCTTAATGAAAAGAGTATATTAGATCCACTTATACATTGATAGAGGGCACAGTAGGTGCAGTGGGTGGCACTGGGTCCTTAGAAGGTTATCGGTTCAAATCCTGGTCCGGATCCGAGTGTGTGTAGAGTTTGCGCGTTATCCAATGTCTGCATGGGTTTTCAGCGGGTAATCTTGCTTCCTCCCACAGTTCACAGACCCACATTGGGGTTTGGTTAATTGGAGGTTCTGGGTGTAAATGTAAGTGTGAATGTGTTTTTGTCTCTGTATGTTGGCCCTGTGATTCACTGGCAACCTGTCCAGGGTGTTCCCCTTCTCTCGCCCAGTGTCAGCTGGGATTGGCTCCAGTTTCCTTGCGACCCTCAAAGGATAAGCAGGGTGGATGGATGGATGGAAAGATACAAAGGAAAAAAGACACACACCAGCATTTGTGCACATGTGCCTGCCCACGTGCCAGCCCACTTTTGTTTGTATCACCTACTTTAATGTGCAGTTGTGTTAGACCGCATTTTCACGTGCGCAGCCAATAAGGTTCTCAAAGGTTCTTTCATTCTCTGAATATGTTTAGAAAAGTGGAGGCGGAGGCTGAGCAATGTTTAGGCTACAAAGACCTCCTGGCAAGAAAACAAAGCTAAGATGGCTCATTAGCCAGGCATCGAGAACTGTGCCCCAACCCTGACTCATGACCCAGGTCACAGTGAAGAGCTCCGAGCATGATTTGAAAACGACGCAGACCTTTTCCATGAAGTTCATGCTGTTCATGTTTAAAATAGATGCATTTTGGGGGATAGAATATAATTTAATACCACTTGAAACCAATGGAAAGTGATATTATTTATCAATAATTCATCATGAGCCGATTGCGAACCCCCATGTGCTTAAAAAGTACACTATGTACCAATGAAGCTCACAGACTGTTTTCAAGATTACTGATTTCTACATTTGAAATATTTAAGACTGAACTAAGTTAATGTCATATAAAATAGAGGTAGATTCTCCATAGGACACTGCAGTGCATTCTGAAAACAGAAGTTGGACTATTTCTAAACTGACCTTAATTTAAATGTAAATGGAACTTTTTTATACATTTCTCCCATTAAGTTGGTCAAAAATGTAATACATTTGTTGTTTTTTATGAATGGAGCGTCAGTTTTCCACGGTTGATGACTTGTTTGCAGGTATTGATTGTAGGTCATGTGAATATAATAGGACATGTTGAATCTGGTACTATTTGCCCCTGGAGGTAGATTTTTCTCCGCACTGTGGTAAACTGGTAATTACAATCAGAACAATCCTCTGGAGCTGCCTGCTTCCTGTCAACAGCATAGTTCTTCCAGTTTTATGGGCAGCAGCTCAGAAAAAAAACTTTAATTACACCAAATGAAAACAAAGCACACTTGGGTCACATGGGGACTATGCCAGCATAATATTTCCTGTGATGCAATATAAGAAATATGAAAGAAATACAGAAAGCATGTAACTCATTTAACTTTGGTACAGAATCATTAACATAAACAGATAGATAGATTGATTGATTGATTGATTGATTGATTGATTGATTTAGTATTTAGCATGCAAAGCTTAATTTCACTACACTGATATTATTTGAACCAGGATGTTGTGTTTTCAATGCTGCCTGTGTGTTAGCAGGATTATGCAAAAACTGCTGAACCAATTTTCTTGAAACATGGTGGAAGGGTGGGATATGAGCCAAGGGAGAACTTTTACAGAAGATTCGACTCAGGGATTTCTTTCTATCTTTTCCTATCTCCTTTGTGGAGATATGCATTGTCTGCGTGTCTTAATTCATGATTTCTGTATTTGTGTATGATGCTTACTGAGGTGTGATTCCTACCATAAGCATTTAGGGCTTTCTTTAATCTCACCTGCACATTTTAAAACAGTTTTTATGTCTGTTATTCGATTGCCATTGTTTTGTGCAAATAATCAAATCAAATCAAAGGGTAGAATAGATTCATTGTTAATTTTGTTCTTAAGCATGGATGTCAATGAAAAAAAATCTATACTGCCAGTTTTACTCTTACATTTTTAATAATATTTTAAAACACTTGATTTTTATTCTGTATGTAGTCCACTTATTGGCTCACCTTGTTATAAAAACCTTTAACTCACAACATAATAGAAATATGTTATCCATATTTTTCAGTTTTGTTGAATCTACCGATGTTTAACTAATGATTATCTAACTAACTAAGCAACAGGGAAAAAGAAGGAACTCTGCTAACGTGTGCTTTGTGTAGAGGCTGCCTTATAGCAACCATTCAAGAGGTCCTTTGGTGAACGTCAGTGTTGCACCCGGATGTCCACAAATTGACATCAGAGTCTGTTGAAGTGTTTGACAAAGCAAACCAAGAAAACTCTCACTGAGCTCCAGTGTTTAAAACCCAAGTATTTGTCCAGATCTGAAGCTGATCAAATTTAGAGCCAAATCTTAGTCAGCGAGGCAGACAGGCAGTCAGAGCTCCACAGCCTTCACTCATCAGCTCCCCTCTCATCTGCCACGCTGCCTGCGAACCCCCTGCTTCCGAGACAGCGTTAGTTACACTGCATCAAAGTTCCTTTCTGCTCAGCCATCGTAGCAGTGGTAATTTTAGTCAAGTGCGACTGTACAAGTAGGCATAATTTTAAAAGTAACAAAAGAGGCTGTTTTGTGCTCAAGGTCATGACTGAAAATAGACCAACTGAGATCAGGAGTGGTGTAATAAGTAGTTTGGCTGTGTAGCACGTAACAGAAATTTCAAGTGTGATCCATGCAAATGCCAGAGCTATGAAAATGGCATGCAAAGTACTGAGTAGAGCGGTGAACCAGTGATCAGTGTGTGTTGAAGTGTCCTTGAGCAAGATACTGAACCTTTTAACTGCCTTCAGTGTGTGAATATGTGTGTATGACTGTGACATACATTGTAAAGTGTTTTGAGTGGCCGACAGACTGGAAAAGAGCTTTTTATAGAAACGCAGACCATTTACCACATGAGTAAATGTTGTGGGTAAGCCTTGTGAAATTATGTAATCGACAGTATTTCAAATTTGATAAAAATTTCGCATCTCACACATGAAATGAACTTACAGCTTTCAGTGTTTGTCGATGAGTCGCACGTCAACAAATCACATCCGTAATTTTGACATTGAAAAATCTTTTACGTCAGAGGCAAAATAAAAAAAAATAAAAAAATCCAGCACATGAATAATGTTTGCAGCTCATTTGCTGCTTTGTTCTGCTCTGCTCCTTTAAAAGCTGATGAATATACATGAGCACAACTGGTGAGATGAAACCCAAATTAATTGGTCAGATTTAGAGCCACCAGCTGTGGAGCAAGTCGATGTGAATGATGTTGTTTACCTTTAGTTTGTTCTCCACAACACCTGTGCAAATATTTTTAATATGTTTTATTCTCTCCCCCCCTCCCTTTTTCTCTCTCTCTCTCTCGTTGTTTTCAGCACAACATTGAGGCCAGACCAAGGTAAGACTGCCCGTGTGATTGGCTTTCATTTTACTCGCCGTAGCAGCACAGTTTAGCAGCGAATCAGGACCGTGCAGAGGCTCCTTGCTCAGGTCCTTCACCCATCATGCGACTGACAAGTATTCATCCTGCAAAATAACACACTCCAAGTCTTTTTTTTCCCTTTTATACTTTCACCTTTTACCCTCAGACATTTTACAAAGTCAGATACAGACAAGGGGTCGCCTACGCACATCAGCCACTTCCATGCCTCCAAACCATTCCGGTCACATGCGAGTCACGTAGGCGCCCCAACGAGGCAATTAGTAGCTCTCATCTGTGTTAGCCCGGCAGAATCAGAGGAGGTGATAATCTGCCCTGTCCAATCCGGGCTGTGGACGGTGGTAACAGTGCATGTGCTGTATATGCATGCTTTAGTGAGGGTCAAGTCAACACCCTCTGACACTGCAGAGCATTTACATCTCTGCTTTCCCCAACCCCGCAGGCATGTGTAGAGAGTGTGAGAAAGCAGACTGGACGGATGCAGCCATATTATTTTTCAGCTGCTGTAACAGTTTGTTTGTGTCATTGTTATTTTGCTTAGACTACATCTCTCACCTTTATCACAGTCTGTGTCAGACAGTCTGAAATGGATAGTTCTCTTCCCAGTCTCACACGTTATTGATCTGTTGACACAAAACACCCTCTGCCTCCTTCAGCCACAGCAGGAGCGCACCTAGCACCACCTGCTGTCTCGGCTTTTCCCCTTAGCTGTCTCCAAGGGCTTTCATCTCAAACAACACACACGCAAACACACACACACAGCCTTCAGCAGATACCAGCACATCTGTCCTCGGAGGGAAAGAATCTTATTTTCTGTGAGACCTTATTTTAAATGCCGCTAGGTACAAAAAGAGTCCAATATTCCACAAAATACAGCTTTGATGGACAATGTGTTGAATTTTTAATTTCACTTTGCACTATTTATATTTCTGCGAAAATATATCCTCTTATTTCCTCTCTGGAGTGCCTTACTTTTATTAAGCAAAAAGAAACAAATGACACAAGATGTTATATATTATTGATTGGTCAACCAGCCTAATGATTTTTAGGCTCTGGAGCAGATGGCAGTAAGCTTAGACCCAAGGGTGAGATGGAGCTAATAGTTTGTCCTTGGCTAAGGTTACTCTCTCTCTCTCTGTCTCTCTCTCTCTCTCTCTCTCTCTCTCTCTCTTTCTCTCTCTCTCCCTCTCTCACTCCCTCTCTCACTCTCACTCCCAAATTCCCTCAACCTGCCCTAAAATGCAGTTGGTGCAGAATCGGTGGCTCGTGGAAAATGACACACAAAAATAAACCTAACATGAAGCACAACATACCTTTGTTGTTGTTTATTGCATTAGCTTAGCACTGGAGATTAAGGTGAAGCACACAAAGGGATGATAGGACAAAAGAAGGGAAATGAGGTGAAACTGGAGGAGGAAGAAAGATACTGGAAGGAAAAGGGATTTTTGCAGGATCGAGCTTGGAGTGGATGTTTAGGGTCACGTGCAATGTGTTCCAGACAGCAAATTGATTATGGAGCAGAAACACTAATCTGCTGTCTGAGACCTATATCGCTGCCATATAGACGGAGTGTCCCCACAGGACCACTATCCTGCACCCACCTGCATCTTTCCCGGACTTCCTCATCAATACAATCCCCTGCTTCTCCTCAAGTCTATCAACATAGGTATTTTATGCCTGACAAGATTTTTTCTCCTTTGAATATGAATCTTATTTTACTCCCCATAGACGAACAAACGCACAGTCCTGCCTCCAATGTGGTGCATTGTAATTTTCATTTGTATTCCTCCCCCTTAACTGGTAAAACAACCCCTCTCCCTAACATACACCTTTTATGATTTTGTGTGTGTGTGTGTGTGTGTGTGTGTGTGTGTGTGTGTGTGTGTGTACAGTACATCTCCATGTTAGTATCTTTATCCTCAAAGAGGTTATGTGTTCGTCTGTGTTTGTTAGTTTATCTGTTAGTTAGCAGGATTATGCAAAAACTATGTATTACCACTAAACTTGGCAGAAGGATGCGATGTGGGGGATGAAGAAAAACTGGCATTTTCAAGGGACTGATATTTATGAGAGTGTGAAATTAGTAGTAGATAAATCCAGATGTGGTGAATTTAAATGTGGTTCCATAAGGGGACTGTTGGGCCGTGGCAGAGGTAAGTGTATATATGTGTTTATATACTCTCCTCATTAGCATATGCGTCTTCATAAATCCCTGGTGTTCGTGTATACGTCCATAAAATGTTTAATCGTTTAGCATCTCATTGTGTATTATTCTGTGTTTCAAAGGTTGAAAGAATAATTAATAACAACAGTTAAGTAATTAAAATTGTTTCTGGAAGCCAGACGCACAATTAATGCTTTCACATTTTGCAGTCCTTAGTGATCTCAGGGCCATGTTGCACCAATAGTCACCATGGCCACTGATAATAACAGAAGAGCGTCTCTGACTGTGTGAGCACACATAAACACTCACAAAAGAGGGATGAGGAGAAAGGGATCATTGCTGCAGGAACGTTTTAATTCTAGAAACCTACTTGTATGCTGTCTCTGGAGATTTGGTGCATAAAGGTTGCAAGGAAATGGTTGCAAAGACAGTGAAAGTCAATCAGAGGAAAAGAGTCGCACACTGAGGAATTCCATCTGCTAGACTTAAATTTCCTCCTCTGTTGGGACTTTGGAGGATTTCTTAGTAGGACAAGTATTTTCTTCCTTGGTATTGAATCCGCCTGTCAATTTTGATATCTGTAAATGATATTTAGCATTAATCTTTATAAATGTTTTGCTAAAATTTGACATATTTAGGTTTGGTTTTGTTAAATTGTTTCATTTTTTTGTGTTAAATAATTCTTCATAGTGGCCTCTCAAGGCATCATTAATTTCCGTAGAATCCACAACAGCATGCCCGTTGGATTGGTTGATGGATGTTTTAGTTTCTATTTGTTTATTCTGTCATGGTAATAATTTATTGCCTTTGTTCATAGAATGTACGCCTCCTTAAACTCAGAAGACTAGATGCAGCTCTGGAAGCCGACGTGTCATATTCGGCTCACTCTCAATAAGTTATTTTCAAGTTGCGAGTTACTTTTCTAAAGCTAAACTTTTTTCAGACGAGAATGATGCTGTGAATACACTACCCTGCTGCCTCCTCCTGACCTCTTTACCATCCTTATCTAAAAGAGGAGTTTCTTGTAGTGATACAATTTTCAACCCCGTTTCATACCAAACTTTCCCAAGCTGTTGCAGACTACAGCACTTCCAAGAAACAACATGGAGATGTATGACTTGTGATTGACACAGAGATGAAAAGATTCTCTTGCAATATGGAAAGAAATTTACATGAGAATCATGACAAACCTTTAAGTTTGCCCCCAGAAGAAATACATATGTATAGAGCTGGATATGAGGTATGTGTTAGGGTGTGTTAGTATTATTTTTTACCTCAGCATGTGTAGTTAGCTTGCACGTTAACTACATTTTCCTTCCAAACTTGATATATGTAATTCTGTAACCCTCATTCAGTGTAATCACTTATCAACATCACCATTTCTTCTATCAAGGACAAAATCAATCCCAGTAGATTTTAATGAAAACTGTTTTTCATGGAGTATGAATCACCATACATACTCATGGTCATACACTCTCATTCACATAGCCGTGCACTCAGGCGTCATTTATAAATGACCTAGATGTTCTCTCTTTTTTTCTTTAGATCAATCACGTCACTGGTTTTTTGATAGAATAGTTTTTAATTAAAAATGTGCTGTGGCTACATCAGTATCTGATCCTTCGATGGGAATTTGTGGTCCTCTTTCATACATGTAATCTAAATACTGGAATTTTACTAACAGGCAGAAATACAACATGAGCCTTTTTCAGACTTTCCAAGTTTACATTTTCACCAGTCACGTATATGTGGATAATTATTTTTTCACTTCTGTGTCTGTGGCGTCATCCAGGTGCCCACTTGACTGCTGTGAATTTGAGCTCACTTGGAAATTTTCCTGATATTATAATAGCTACCAGGAAAAGTTCTGGAAAATATCCGTTCTCCATTGCATTCTCACATACATGCACTCCCTGCCCTCTGTCTTTCATTTTGCATTAGTCAACTTCATACTTGTAAACTCCTTCCATTGTATGCTCAGTGACAGAATGGAGCAATGGGGAAATTCCCTCAGCATGTCTCACTAAGTGAAGGCAGTAGACCACCCTCCATCATAATGTACACTCCCTTGTACACACAGAGCAATGAAAAAGAGGAGCTGGCAGTAAAACCAAATGGGTGCTTTGGGGACAGGGCTTATCTGTGTGTCTGAGCCGCTCGCCCTTCACTGGGTCAAATAGATGAGTTGAGTGAAGCAGGGAGGTGTCAGGGGAGTGTGGTCAGGGGACACCGGACAGAGCCAAGAGACGAGGGCCTGGAGAGAGGGAGTCGCATTTCCTCTAATTAAAAATTGATATCGCCGGCTACAAAAGGAGCCAAGACAGAGCCTCTTGCCTTTGTGCCTTTGTGTGTGTGTGTGTGTGTCTGTCTGTGTACATGCCCCCATTTAATAATTTAAGTGTTTCAGTTAGATGCATCTGTATCTGTTTTCCTGTGTGTAAGGCCCAGCTGCTTGTTATGACTGTACTAAAAGCTCTTCATTGATACACCACCAGCTTCCTCCGTCTCTCTCAAATTCAAATTCACATTCGAATAAGTATATTGCCATGACAGATCAGAGACCTATTCTGCCAACGCAGTACAGACAATTGTTAACATTGACAGATGGTTATAAATATACAATAATATGCAAATACCAGCCATGGTAGCAAGTACGATCTTACTAGAAATGATCTGTCAGTCTTGCTTTCTTCAGATTTTGGGACAGCCCCTCATTAGAGGTGGGTCCATTGCTGGAAGTGCAGTGTCGCCTGTAAAGTTTTTTGGATGCGCAGTTCTCGGAAATCAACAAGAA